AGAAAGTCAGAAAGATAATTGTTCCTGGACTCATTCAAGTTCTTATGTAATTGTTTCCTGACTAATTTAAATTTATTCCAATCGGATTGGCTTCCAGATTTCTTCGCTCTGTTGTATAGCCTTTGCTTTTTCCTTGTCTGTCTTCTCAAGCTACGATTAAACCACGGTAGGTTATAGCGTGAGGTAGTATACTTGTGTGGTATACAAGAATCCATAATTCCTGTGAGTCTTTGTTGAAATATATTCCAGAGAAGTTATGGAAATAACCAGAGAATTTTGATAATGGATCCACAACACTTATTGTTCATTTCTTGGATTGCTTGTCCTGTGCTAAGCAATTTAGCAGCAATTCATGAAAAAAAGTATAAAATCTTAGTTAAACTCGTCTTATTGATATGTTACTCATTTTTCTATCTTCCACTCGCCAGCCGCCATAAAGCCTCCGCTCGTCTTTTCTTGTATTCAAGCTTTCCGCTAACTTGTGCAAGGAATTTTTTGCTTAAATGCAAGGCTTTATGTTTGGGAGAAGCATTTTTTATAACATAGTTATACAAAATACAAATGTTTTCTTTCGTGGATGTTAAAATTGAAGACAAAAGAAATGACTCCGTCATATCTAGTAGGCAGCTCTCAAGCTGACTCCCTCCCTTTTCAATATTTTCAGTTCCTCGACGCCTTTTAATTGAAGGTGAGGTCGAGAGCACGGATTTTCTTTTTCCTTGCTGGCCTGTCTCTTTCGCCGGGGACGAGACTGTGTTCATCCCAAAGCTGTTCTGGCAATTATAGCACTTGCAACCTACGTAGCTCTGTATAGCCGTGTATACCTGCGTATAGCCTTTTATAGCTGTGTATAGCCCGGTATAGCTGTGTCTAGCCCTGTATAGCTGTGTATAGCCCCGTATAACTGTGTATAGCCCTGTATAGCTGTGTATAGCCCTGTATAGCTTTGTATAGCCCTGTATAGCTGTGTATAGCCGTGTATATCTGTGTATAGCTGTGTATAGCTAACGTTCGAATCGTCAGCTTTTGTAATCGTTACGGAGGCCAATTTAACATTTCAATTTTGTTGATATATCGAAATCATAGCCCTGTAGAGGTGTGTATAGCCCTGTATAGCTGGGTATAGCCGTGTATAGCTGTGTATAGCCCTGTATAGCCGTGTATACCCTGTATAGCTGTGTATAGCCGTGTAGAGCTACGTATAACCCTGTATAGCTGTGTATAGCTCCGTATAGCCCTGTATAGCTGTGTATAGCCCTGTATAGCTGTGTATAGCCCTGTATAGCTGTGTATAGCCCTCTATAGCTTTGTATAGCCCTGTATAGCTGTGTATTGTATTGTAATCTTTATTTAGACACGATCAATTGATCAGCCTATAAAAATACATATCACATTTTTTCGCTGTGTATAGCCTTGTATAGCTGTGTATAGCCCTGTATAGCTGTCTATAGCCCTTTATAGCTGCGTATAGCCCTCTATAGCTCTATATAGCATTGTATAGCTGTGTGTAACCTTGTATAGCTGCGTAGAGCCTTGAATAGCTATATATAGCTCTCTATAGCTGTATATAGCCCTCTATAGCTGTGTATAGCTTTGTATAGCTGTGTATAGCCCTGTATAGCTGTGTTTAGCCCTGTATAGCTGCGTATAGCCTTGTGTATAGCTGTGTATAGCCCTGTATAGCTGTGTATAGCCTTGTAGAGCCTTGTACAGCTGTGTATAGCCCTGGATAGCTATGTATAGCCGTGTATAGCTCTGTATAGCCGTTTAAAGCTGCGTATAGCCTTGTGTAGCTCTGTATAGCCGTGTATAGCAGTGTATAGCCCTCTATAGCTGTGTATAGCCCTGTATAGCTGCGTGTAGCCCTATATAGCTGTGTATAGCCCTGCAACTGTGTATAGTCCTATATAGCTGTATTGCCGTGCATAGCTGTGTTAGGTTGCATTACACTTAGGCGTACATAAAGTATAAGTCTAATAGACATGTGCAGCATATATGGCTGCCTTCCATGAAGTAAATACCACGCTGTCCCTCTAAACGATCCCAAGAGCCTTAATGGAGGCAAATCGTACCCAGACCTCCGCTCGTTTAGAAAATGGCGAATGTCTCGTCCTTACAGCGATGTTTTCTAGGTTCTCCTGAGGTCAAGGAGCCGTGACCTGAAAACTACCCACAACACTTTTCGGGTTGTTAAGTGTTTTTTTTTTCCGACAACCTTTCTGGAAATAGCTTTATCCACATTCGAACATTCAAATCTTTTGCCTTTACTCTTAAAAAAAATAGGTATATGTTTTGATACTCACGGAGCCTTCTTGTTGTTCTTGATAGTATTATGAACGAGCATTAGCAAATTTTGCCGGTTGAGTTTTAGCTGTCTTTTCCCCCACCATAAGAGAATTAAGGCAAAAACTCGAACGCGTTCGAGTTTTTGCGATCAGAAGTCGCTGTATAATGTCAACTTAATTGTCACTATTCTGTAGCTTGGGCTACCTGTGGTGCCTCTGCCTCTTCGTTCTTATGGTGATTTGACGTCATCTGTGGTCCAGAATTGAACGCACTCAAGGTTAGATGAATTCTATTTGTTACGTAACGAGATTTAAATGTGTTCCACACTTTCAACGGAAATTTTTCAATCGGTGGTGTAGTTTTACATCATCGCTTTTTCAAAGTTAAGTTACGCACGTCTGCACATGCTCTTTGAGCTGATTAAACTATTTTTCGGTACTTACTTTGTTCTTTCAAAACTCGTCGCCTTGTCAGTTCACGGAGAGCGCTCAGTTGAAACCATATCATCAAATGCTGAATACATCCACTAGCAGCCTTAAGAATTTTTTAAATGTACACTAACCAATCTTCATCATGACAATTCAAGAGGGGTATAAAGAACATATTTTTCTTTTTTTCATCTGCAGCTTATGATCTTACATCCCGCCCAACCTTTATTTTAAAGAGCGTGTTTCTGTGACTGAAGGCTAGGACCGGAGAGTTGTCCCCGATAACTATTCTAGTCAGCTTTAAGACGTCCGTCGAGTTGAAACGACCAATTCAAGAAGCTTTAAACTGTTTGTAACGTTGTACATGCACCTTTTGTGTTTACACAGGTTTAAGGGTGGCTTTTTACGTTTTTAAACCTCCCACTTACCATAATGACACTGTCACTGTTTCTGGCGCATTATCACAGAAACACCATCAACTATTGGCCACGTGTTTTAGGCCTGGACGAATGACAAAAATGTTTCGATGATTTTTGCCTAGCGTTTTTACCAGCCACTTTCGAGGATGTTTTAAAAAAGTTTCTATTTCCCGACTTTCCGATCCCAATCGACTAAACAGCTATGGAGCGCTCAAGCCTAGATGAGCACAAGAAAACAGGCTCTGAGAAAACTAGAGTGCGGGGGTGTTGAAAGGGTTCTCTCAAATTTTGATTTTAAGCTATTAAGAGAGCAGGAGGAATTCACATCAAACAGACTTTTTGGATCCACTCATTTTCTTTTCAATTGTTTTACTCACCAATCAAATAATATATATCTAAACTTATCTAATATCTGCCCATTTCGACAAATGAGCTGGGATGGTGGGCCGCGCCGAATTGCTCGAAATTGTCTCCAGCATTTTCTTTTTCGTTAGTTACGAGAGATGCAAAGTACTCTGAAAAAATAAACAAACAAACAACACAAACACAAAGCAGAAGGCAGGAATGCTGAGTTTCCTCTTTTTTTCATCGGACTCAAAGTCAAACTTAAATAATCGGAATTAAAGGGGGGAAAATGTGTTGATATCAGAAAATTAATGCCCGAGGAACTGTTACAAATGAGAAATCGGCAGTTTACATGTCCAATAATGATATGTCTTTTTTTAGATCTCATGTCTAAAAGTAGCTTAAATTAGAATTGCTACGTAGGCTGCTTTTAAAAAATCACCTGCCAGACAAGATTTTCATTGCATTTTGTGTCTTTTTTCTTTTTTCGGTAAGTGCTCATTCAGATTGATGCCCGATTGTACCGCGATAAAAGTTTGCGTGTTCTCCACTTTTAAGTTAATGCAGGATTTATGTATTGCAACACAAACAGCTTGGAAATGAAAACCTTTTAACTTTGTCTTCATTTTATGGGCTTCCGACCTCAGTTTATCTTCCAATCAAAATCTCATCTGAAAAATTAATGGAAATTGTTTTTGGGGCTAAAAAAGTGAGTTTTTATTTAGATTAATTTCAAAATCAAAAACTTTTTTTTTGAGGTTAATTTTCCCAAAATTTCAATCGAAAAAAAAAAGGACCTGAGAAACACACTCTTACTCAATTCGTTCTTTGCTCCAATTCGTGTTTTAGAACTTGTACCCAAATATATAACAAGGTTGATAGAGCTCATGATAAATTCAGTGGAAGAAAGTTATCTCAGAACGCCACAAATTACTGTTGAGTGACGAGTTTAAGTGGGCGAGTAGCTTTGTCACTTTTTTCACGATCAGAGCGAAAAAGAAAGTTCCCTAATCTTTAAAACAATACCTCATTCTAAATTCGTCCTCAATTTTTATTAACAAGTACATTAAGGAAAAGTCTTGAACAATAATATTTTGGATGACAGTTGGAATTAACGAGACAAGAGGTCGTTGATCCGTTGAAATGATGTCCATAAACAGCGTCACTATGACGTAAAGCGAACTTTTAAAAATAGTCAATTCCCACGTACCTTTCAAAGAAGTTTTCCGAAGAGTTGATGAAATTGCACGAAAAACTCGCTGCGCGATGACAGATTTTTTTGCCTCGAATTTTGCCGCTCGTTCGCCCTCTATTTAAAGATATTTTTGCCTGTTAATGGTAAGTTTTAACAACGCAAGTATTAGTGTGATTATTCTAAGCGGAGTACGAATAAGATAACACGATTACATTATTTAGAAAATTATTTAAATGGTTGGCTGATAGTAAGTACGTCACTTTGCATAGCAATATGTTTCCCAAAGCAGATAAACGTTAGTAGATGAATGTTGCACTTTAATCAAGATATTAGATTCAACATGTTAAAAAACAATTTTTATAAGGCAAAAAAAGACACATCAAACTTCAGTTTGGTAATCTCTTATACTGCAAATATCGCATGTACGTGATATTTTCATTTCTATTTGGATTTCTTTGGGTAATGTTTTCAAAATAGCGGAATTACACAAAACACAAAAACCCTCTGGTATGACGTCATCGATGAGTAACGCTATCTTTGCGGTAACTGGACAACAACGTAACAGATGTTTCATAAACTGAGGACAATTCTGTCACTTTGGTCAAATTAAAATGGTCGCTTTTGCAAACAATCAACATTATTTTACACGATACAAGAATAATATTATGACTATATCTTTCCTACATTCTTTTCGTATCAGATTTCGACCTTGTGGAACTGAATTTACAAGGAATTTAGCATGCGATAAAAATAATTTAGTAAAGAAGTGGTTTCTTAGAACACAAAATAAAAAGACTCAAGAAACTTTCTATTTTAAAAGAAAGTGCCGTTTACCAAACCCGTTTCGATGACAAGTTGAACAGGATCTACAGCATTAGCCATTCGATGCCTTGAAACGATCCGAATTGAACTAATGAAAATACTATAACGATGTTTTGCCTTTCAACAAACGATGCCAATTTCCCATCAGATTTGAATGAAGACGCCAAAAAGTCAACACATTTCCTATGTGGCGATCTATAAACGTCCGGCAGGAAGCCGTAAGTTATATTCTTAGAAAAGGAAATGATCGAACCATTATTTATTTGGTAATTTACAGCATTTTGCTAGACAACTGTGCAAATTTGCCTTTTAAAGTCAAGTTCCTTGGCGCCTTTTGTCACCGTACTCACATTAACACTTTCATTTTAACTTGCGTGCAGTCCTCGAAATAGTTACTTTTAGTGATTTTATATTATTATTTCACGCAACAAAAATAACTTTTTGGTTAGCAGACTTTTTTTTCTTTACGGCCCAATATATTTGAGTGGTTATATTATCTAGACATTCTACACTGAGTAAAATATTTCAAGTCGGTTTATTGTAAAGTAAGGAAAAAAGGGAATTGGTCTCACACCACGCGCTGATGCCATCTAAGCAATTTTCTAATGGATTCCGCTTTTGGTTTCATTTTAGGGAAAATTTAAACTCGTGCGGAGGTGGCGTGTGTTTAAATACGTTTGAAAACTTTGGTAGAGACGACATCTAAGGAGCTAAGAGAACTTGAACAGCACTCTGCTTTGTTACAAGTGAGGAATTTTTTATGGACTCCAAAACCTAGACATTCAATCAGTAGAAGGCTTGATTTACAAGAAAACCTCTAAACATCTTTCTGACCGCCTTCCAAACCACCATGTCTTGTTTGACATATACTGATTCGCCACTATCTGCACCGTGTAAAGAAACGCAACTTCAAAAGAGTGCTCGTCTATGTTATAGAAGAGGATTTTCATCAAAGGTAAGTTTTGCGCCCTTGTAAGCCTGCTCGAAACGCCTTCGCAGGTTTATAGAACGCTCGAAACAGATGTAAACCTTCATTGTTGTACTTTCGATGCGTATGTGAACTAAATGTAATTTTCCATGAGTTGGGTCATACTTGCTAATGTCATTTAAATCCAAATTTACAACATTATGACGTTCGCAATGCTGATTCGAACTTGGATTTTGTTGTGTTTGATATTCTCAAATTTAGCAAATTCTCCCACCCTAGAGCAAAACAAGCATGACGTTTCAGTTTGATAATTTTATTATTTTCATCAGCTCGTTCCTTTCTGTTTCAATCTTGGCTTTTGTTGTGCGAGCCAACGATTTTATTTTAACAAATGATCACGCGAGTTTGACGCTTCAGAAGATTGATTTATTTCAATACGTGATGTAATTGCTGGAAGTGACTCACTCCGATGGCGAACTAAAATATTAGTGTGACAGTAGGCGGTCTCCTCATTAAAACCAATGTTCTCACTCGGTTACCCATGATCCATGTAAGATTACTGAACCAGTTAATTGATCAGATAAACACAGATAAACACATATTCTCGCAGCGATTTATGTTAGGTCGCAATATACTTAAATCCAACTTAAACCGCAAAAGTCTTCAAGCCAATTTATCGAAACTAAAGACATAATGGTGCCAAATTTGCTTGAAGCCAATACTTGTGAAATTTAGTTAAGAAATCATGGCTTTTCGCCAAGGGTGTGAGGCGCCATCTTGAGAGATTTACGGTTTACAGGAAATCATAGGGATGACATGTTAAAAAACGTTGATTGAAATATCAACTTAAGCTTATATTTGCTTCGAGAATTTAGCATGTGGCTACAAATGTTGTATACACGGCTAAACCTGGTAACACCATATATGTGCGGGTAACATGAAACTTCTCCCACAATTAGAACACATCATCCCTAGACAGGTCATGAAAATAGAACAACATATCAGATGAAGGTTGTAATAAACTTGATATAAAGCTGATTTTTCGTAACATATTTATGGTGAAGCGACATGGAAATTAGAATGGAGAATTTCAAAGTAGGTTTTTGAATTTATTAAATCCATTTTGAAATCACTGGTGGTCCCTGTAATCTGATTGGCTCTAATTGGTGGGATTTATTCACGAATCGCACCATTTTTTGCTCTAAATCGCATTATTTCACGATTGACTGAGTTTTTGACACATGACGTCAAAGTCTGATTTTACGTATGATTTCAGCCCAAATTGCACTCCACTCAGTTCAATTACCATTATTTATAACTTGGAAATTGAAAGGAAGTGGTCAGGTCCAGATACAATTTATGACAACATAACATTTTGCCGTTTGGGTCAGTTCTTGATTTTGGGAACCTGCCCTCCACCCCGGGGGGGTACTCCCTTATAAGGGCTTAATGGGGACGTGCGGCCAGCCAGGGTATGTTTTTCGAGATTTTTGTCTTAAACAGGGTATCGAATTTATCATTTTTTGTCTTAATCAGGGTATCGATTTATCAATTTTTGTCTTAAACAGGATATCTTTTCTTGGAAGATAAACAGCAAAATTTTTACAAGCTCTAATTTTAATTAATATTGAATTCCGTTGATTTTGGCATTGATACCAGGCACATTAAATGTCTTAAACAGGGTATCAAAAATCGGAATTCTGTCTTAAACAGGGTAGGAAAATCAGCGATATTTGTCTTAAACAGGGTCAGGGTATGAGGGGCCGCGCCGCACCTCCCCACCCAGGAATATATCGAGTACCCCCCGGGTCAGGAACCTGTAAGCAAAATGAGGTAATTCTTAATTTTGGCTTTGCCGGAAGACGGCTGAGGTTTGGACCCCCTTTCACAATGAAGCACCACTACTCCACATGTTAGGCCTAAAACACCATTCGTTTTTCTGATGCTAAAAGATAATCCCAAGGCTTTTTTTGAAGTTTTTTTTTTTTTCTAGTCAGTGTTACCTAATAACTGACCTTTCTTTGATCCTCTCTTTCTGTGAAAAACGTGTAGACTACGTGTCTCACGTGTAAAGAAGGCAGGCCCCCTTTGCATTCTTATGATTTCAGGTGTTTAATCAATGCATGCATTTGTTTACAGAGTAAACTTTTTTACGTTGACATACATCTCAGTAACTTAAGCCTTTAACACCTCTCTTTTTTTCCCTTGGTTAACTAAGATAATAATTTACCATGTAAAATTAAAATTTTGCGGGAGTTTTTGACGATATTAGATCGTTTTGTTTCGTTTTGATCTATTGTGGTAGCCCACAGAAGAGACGTATTTTTTTCTTCGTGTTTTTTTTTTTTTTTTTCACACAAGAGGAGGCAAGCTCCTTTTGGGGAGCGCGTCACTAGTCTCGCTTTCCTTTCATGAGCAGGTGGATCAGCTTTAATTAATAGTTCTATCGATAATTGTTCCACACATTTTGTATGCAGCAATTTTTCAATTGTAGCGAAGGTGGTCCAGGATATGATTGGTTTTGTTTTACTTCACTGTGTGATTGGTCCACTGAAAACTCGCGCCAGTGACTTTCTAAAGCAATCAGTATCAAAATTTTAACCAATCGCGATTCGGTCACGTGCTTATTCCGCGCCTCAAGCGGGATTACCTCACACGCAATCGTAATGCCTCGTGTCTACAGTATCTAACTGTCGATATCTTTTGGTGCTCTGAGCTCACAAAAAGTATTGCTATTTAGGTTTTCGCGGAGAAAACATACATCATCCTTCATTCCACAGGATTAAAATACCTCTTTAGGTCAAACGCAAGGTTTGGTTGAAAATATTTTTATTGTTAACTATTGTTCACTTTGAAATAACTCTCTATGAAGCGCAGTTCAGTCTCTTTTATACGCATTGCGAGCCTATATCTATTTTGTTTATATTTTGACGCACTTTTTTTCAGCTAAGGCGCATTATTGTACAACAAAATATTCTACATTTAGACTTACGATGCATTTCCTAAATACAGCTTGCGAGCCAGACATCTTCAGACGACCCTTCCGTCGATCATAGTCGGCATTTATTTGCGCGTCACAACCCCATAATTCAATACCGCTTATATCGATAGGTTGTTAATATGGAACAGGGCAAACCGCCATTTGTTTTGGTGATATTACGCTCTTAGTTTCTCTTGCTAGTTCGAGGAAGTTTCCAGCATTTTTCGAATTCTTTGCCAGTTTATTGACAGTGTGAATTGAGAGAGTCAGTTCTGCCTGCCATGCAATCAAGCCGAGGACATTTGCAGACAAAAACATAGCGCGCTTAGCGGAAAGAACTTGGAGCTGATTTTCGAGTTTTATTCCACGACTTGCATCTCGAAGATCTCTCGAGCACATGGATCAGAGGGGCTTCTGTGCGGCTATCCGGACTCAAAGATACTCTAATGTGAGTTTTTTAACTTTGGCAAAATGTAGTTTACACCAAGTGACCAGTATAGTGTGAGGTTGAACTTCAATTTGTTCCTTTGAATATAAGGCAGATTAGAAATTCGGTACGCTCAAAGTGGTAAAACGTATATCAAGTTTCAATTTGGTGACAACCGGGCGTTCGAGGAAGCAGGTGAATGAAAAGGCAAATTTTCTTTTGTTCGTGAATAGCTGTGGCTATTTGGGGTACTATAGTCGACAAAGATTAAAACTGATTCAGTAAAACTATTTTAATTTCATGCCAGCTGAACGAGCTGGAAATAGCATAAAGATAATATTGAATGATCATGAAAGTTCGAAATCATGGCTTCTCAAACGAGTGGGGTGTTTTGTTATTTTGCTTATTCTTCATTTAGATTAGCTCTTCAAGAAAGAACAACAACAAAAATAACATGCCTTCCCTCGGAAAAATAACTTTCTTTGGCACTAAACAACATTTATCCGGATGATCTGATTTATTTCAGTGTAGTTTCACTGCACTTCAGTTAACTGATCTACCGGTAGTTTCGCTAAGGCAATATTACTCATGGCCCATATTCCGAAGGTTGCAAACATAATTGATTGTTCAATAATTATACCATTTGACATTCTAAAATAATGACTGGAAGTTTGGAGGACCGAAATATGAAAGCGACTTTCTTGGAAATAGGAGTTTGTTGGTTTATTTGTTTCCATGGTATTTCCTCAAATACTTCTAGTCATTGCGACTTCAGCTGTTCAGCCGTTTGTACGCGATCAAGAACGTTCTAAACTACATCAGGACCTATTTACTATCAGCTCTTTAAATACAGTTTTTGCCTGGTGATGCTCGAAAGAAACTAAGTCAGGCCGCCTGTGGTAGCTTACTAATTGCGAAATCTGGGTGAACTTTTGAAAAGAATTGCTTAATTGGTTATTATTATTATTTTGGATCGGATTTTCACTTACAAAACTAAGGGCATTTGCCGATAAAGGGTGCTAAATTAAATCATAAACGGTCACCAAAGATAATTATACTCAGTACTGATTACCCTTTTAATCCCAAAGACTATGATCCGTTCAACAAACTAGGTTTTCGTGCTAAATAAATTCAAATCAACGCGACGATCGTCGCGAATCAATTTGTTTCGTGTCAATCGATTTCCCTTCGAAGGAGTGAGAGCTTTCGAGATGGGCGTTCCTTAGAAGGGGTAGTTAGGGTGAAGTACTATACAACGATTCCCAAGGATTTTCCGAGGCTTAAAAAGGAAACCCAATCGATTGACTCTCGCATCAACTCGACGAGAATATTAATTCTGACTCAAAAACCGAACGGCAAAGTACGTTGTTCCTGTCTTATATCGGAATAATGTAAAGTATAGTTTGTCACCAAGAGCCATAATCATAGTCCCAATTATGGCTCTTGTTGTCACCTTTTCCATTAGAAACGAGAGACTAATTGAAAATTTAAACGTGAAAAACATTGTGAGTTTTTAGAAATCAAACATGATTAAAAAAACTGAGAATCCACTGTTTCATTTCAGACTTCCAAGAACCTAAGCTTGTTGAACTATGGTCAAACTTTAAAAAAAAAAAAAACAAAAAAAAAAACCAGTATTCAAGTATTTTGATAACGGATCCAAATGTAAAATTTTGAAGAAGACATTGGAGCGACCTGGCGCCGTCTTCCAAAAACGCCAAAGGGCAAAAATGGAACTCTGTCGTTCTAGGGGTCTGTACAACACTGTTGATTATTTGCATTTGCTGTAGATGGTTGGTATTTCTCTCAGTGATGATCATTGTTAGGACTCAACCAGAAGAATAAGCAAAATCAGAAGTTACCTTTACCACTCGGGTTTGTGAGACCCCCTCTGAACTATTTCAGTTATTAAGGTAAATTAGCCTACATTGTCTTTACTAAGAATCAAAGGAAGAGGTCACCGTGAGGGAGAATTGGTGCTTGTGTAACTAGGAAGTTAAAGTTTAAAAGCTATGCGTGGGTAGAGGAACAATTATCAGTAAAATGAATTATAAACTCCATTGCCTGAGTTACATAACCGCCCCTCGAACTTCATGCTAAAAACAAGTGGGCGGGTGATTAGTGATAACAAGAAGTCTAATCACGTACGCAGATCGAGACGTTAAATATTTCTGTTAAGGAGTACTAGGACGGTTTTCAGATGCCAGTGGTCAGCTCTGGTCATAGTGTGAGTTCGTGCAGGTTTTGTACGATCTAAAATTAGTAAGTCGAACGATGATGCAGCTTTATTCTATAATTGAAATGCCGCGAGGGAAAACTCCAGTTCAACTGAAGCGAATCTAATCACATCGCTGAAGGAAGTTCATCTTTCTCAGAGTTGATTTATTATTATATTTTTTTTTCCATTGGGCTGGTTGATCTCATGTCTATTTGCGGAAAATCGCTTTTTTGTACTTTCACTCTATCTTCATAATAATACACGGATACATTAATGATTTACCGTGTTGATCGTAATACACTTCGTGTGTTTACAAATGTACGCCATCACTTTGCTTGAACCTATATTTCATGTGGGCGACTTACGCTGAGATAAGTAAAATTCTTTTCTAACAGGGGTCATTGTTGTTTCTCACCAAACAGAAAAATAGAATGATTTCACATTTCATAACTTTTCCAAAATACACCGGAAGAGAGAATGTGCTCGAAGTTTTGCGTTGTTTATTCAAGTTCTCAATAAATCGATTTCAGCGAGTCGCGATTCTTGTAACATGGCGAAAGTTCGATTATTTGAAAGCTGATATTGTTCAGTGCGAGGTTTCTTTTCTTCCCCCGTAGTACTCGTGTCGGCAATCAAGGGAAAAAGTTTCACTATTGTCTGGTTAAATCAGCTTTTTCAGGGGCCTCGTGGAACGTGAGCGCAGTGCGTCACGTGACGATTTTCTCTGGATGACATCATCGTTTTGTTGTGATTGGCTTACGCGGCTCAATATGAAAAGCGAAGCGAGCCGTCGAGTACTTGCGAGTTGTAGCATGTGTGTGAAGGTGAAAATTGTCAGGCTGTTGCTTTAATTTGGTGCACCTGATACGGGGAAATATGTCATGACGAGGTGTTATAACTGTTGTGGAAGTGGCTGGTGGTGTTCAGGGAACTTCTGAGCTCGTTTATGGCGACGAATTCACATAAATCTTTAGACACGTCGAAGAAAGGAAGTTGAGTCGGAAAGGTGAGCATGACCTTTTCCAGTTGAAGTTTTGTCGGCGCTTTTGGAGTGCGAATATTATCATTTTTTTCGGTGCGCCTGGAGTAATGGCGAGACATCCTTGGAAATTTTGTTCAAGTATATTTTTGCAACTGAAGAAGTATTTTGCTTTCGAGAAAGTCATGGACTGTTGGCGTGTTGTGGTTGGCGAAGTTGTTGAATGTTTTTAAGCTTTGTTTACGAAATGAAAAGGAGGACTTTCGAATGCGTTCAGGGTGCAACTACACAAGGATTGCTGTGTTCTTTTTGGCTTCAAGACGCCGATTATAGCATTTTAAATAAATCCTGTAAAGTTAAGAACGAAGAAGATGTATTATAAACGCGCGTTGTAAGCAAGTCTGCAGACGAATATCTTAGATTTCTGCCGTCATTTTGGATGAAAGTTACTTGCGCGCGAGCTTTTGCAGAACTCCATTTTGAAAAGGATTATGAATGTTTTAGAAGGTTTTTCGTCCGCTAATTTTGATTTGGCGTTCTAATTAGTTTCAAGGGAAATATTAAATTTGTTATTCCCAGCTAAGAGATACAGAAAAGCAAGGAAGAATTGTTTTGTTTTTGGCTGACTGGTGTCTGATTGTATTGAGAAAGTTCTTTTGCTTCGGAGACGTATGCAAATTCGATAGGGATTGTACGAAGCGCGCAATTCATTCAAAAGTGCTTACACAAGAAACGATGTATAATTGATGAATATAAGCCTTGGAGCCAAACAACAGCGCACGTGTCTGGGAGGTTGTACATGCTTTGAAAGAAATCTCGGGGAAGTTGTTTGGCACTCTCCCCCTAGTTTTCTTTCATGTAGGTGTCGAGAAACGTTCAAATGTTCACACGTGCTTGCTGGGCTTTGCGTATTAATAGACTAATCGAATTTTCCATCGATTTCAGGGTTTGTCCTTAACGAGCGACATGAAACCTGCACATCACACGCTTTTTCGCGACCAAGTGAGTACTCTAGTGGACTGGTTTGGGAGGTGGAACGAATGTGAACAGACTATAGCGTTGTATACGCTTTTGAAACGCATAACCACCATTCAAGCCAAGTTTCTATCGTTAATTCTGGAGCACACATTTAGGGAGGATTCCTTTGAAGTTCAGATGATGCAAAGGCGAGCAAACGACAAAGGTAGGCAATATATTTTTGTCGGTCTGCACGTGGGCGGGTAACTCCACAACCGTTCTTGTTTTAGCACGGTGGGAATTTTTGCATCAACGAAGCTTGTTCGACCGAGCAAAATTTGTAGTGTTTGGTTAAATTTCTTGTCTTTAAAAAAGGCGTCAAAAATTTCACTCTTTTAAATTGACACGCGTTTGTAAAATTGGTGGATTTTGTTTTGATAAATCTTCAACGCATTAGAAACGGTCGTGAAATATCCATCTTGAGGTCAGATGTAGTTAATTCCTAATTGCCCTTGTTTCATTTCGCGTCACGATATTTTTCGTTTCGTGTGGTGCAGGAGAGAAAAAAAATGCTTTCATTTTTTCTTTCCCTTCTTGTAGTCGTGTCTCTACCTACTATATTTCATTAAACCAAATCGTAAACATCATTGTTTGTTATTATGCTTTTTGCTTCGAGGCGCAAAAGCGTTTTAAACTCTTGTGGAAATTCGTGATGTCAGGTTTGATTCTTCTGCAGTTGCTTGGTAAATTTCTTGGCGTCAGAATATCAGAAGGTTAAAAGAACCTATGGTCCGTTGGGAGAGATGTTTATCCTTTTGTTTGAGTCCCCTAAGCCACGGAAGAAAACAAAGAGAATATAATTTTGAATGAAAAAGGAAAAGTGTGTGAAAATTATGCAAAAGAAATTTTCAAGTAACACTGATCAGTTTTGATGTCATGATTATTTTGAGCCAATTGATGTAAAACGAAGTTAAAGTCTAGGAAAAAATTTTTTTATATTGTTTTTGTAGTTTCCTGTGTATGGTGTACAGTTTTGGCCCAGGAGCATCTTAATATTAAACAATTCTTTTTGGATGAGTGAAATTTGATGTATTTCATTTGAAAAACAAACAAGTTTTAATTGGAAGATCAGATTTCATGCACCCGATTGGAGGGTGACTCTCAGGACTGCATCATGTGCATTGCAATATGCATCTGATTGGCTATTGCTGTTAGTTTGGGTTTGGTTTTTTTGACTTTCTATTAAAATGGGTTCTGTGGTTCTGTATACCAGCTTCTGTAAGACTGAGGTAGGAAAGTACTTTAGAACTCCATGGTGCATGGGTTATCATTTCAAGGGTCATTGTTTATCATAGGTACCATTTCTGATTAAGGGAAGTTAATTGATTTGTATGACTGGTGCTGTGGCTTGAAAAAGTACACTATATGACAAAAAAAGGTTTTTAATATAATGACCATATTTTTAAGATTTGGTAATGTAATGTGTGGTTGTGGGACTTAGAATTATTTGAAATTGTTAGGGGAAAGGAGAAAGGTATAAGAATTCATGTCGTGGTATTTCATGAGACTGTTTTTTTGTGGACAGGTGATAGATATCTTTGTAAAAAGATAAATCAAGACTGATAGATTTCATCAAGATTGGAATGGAGTTAGAACTTTTATCAAGAGATAGGGAATAGGTAGAAAGGTTTTTTGGAAGGTGTTGAAGGGCAATGACCACATGAAGTTGGATGTTACGCCTAACATTCCTGTAGGAGCTCTATTAACTGATTTTGTGAAGCGACTCTATAGATGGGATTTTTTTTTCACAATAAAAAATAGCTTGGTTCTTGTTATTTGAGGAGATCATTGGTGTAAATAAATCAGTTGGAATAATATAGTTGAAGATGCAAACAATGTATGTATGTGGCTTAATGCTTTGTATCACCAAGGTTGAAGGAAAAGAAAGGAAAGGAAATCCACTTTGAATTGTGTGTGGATCATTGAAGAAGGGTAGCTTTCCAATTTGACAACCATATGAACTAGTGCAAGTTCCCACTCTGGATGGAAAATAATTGGCAACTTGTTCAAACTACCTGGCAAATTCATTGACATTTGCTGACTCCTGTATCTTAAAGTTATTTAGAAAAACAGTTTCCTCGGTTTCTGGTAGTAGTTTTCTTTGCAAGACTTGGAAAAGTGCACAGGGAAAAAGTAATTATTATTAAAGGCATTTTGAGTTTGTCGAGACAGAATGTACCCTGTACCATTAGGTTAGTTTCTTTTTTATAAATTGCTGCTTCATTCACTCATTGTCCTTATTATCCAATATCAAGGTTTGATCATTAAGCTGGTAATGCTATTATTATAATGAAATTATCTGTGAAAGGAATGTACTTAGAGGAATATGGCTTCTTACTCTGCAATCTGCATAATGGTTGAATAGTAACAAGTCATTCTAATTCACTTTAACCTCAATTTGAAATTACTTCAAAGGTAATGTTCTCTTGCAGTGTTTTGTCTTAATTTTATGTACAACAGGCACAAGAAATTTTCAGATGGGTAAAGCAATTCTTTTACCTGTTAGATTTTCAAGATTTCTTTTCAAGTGATCTTGGGCAGTAAATTTTACCAGTTACTGCCTGAATAGAAGAGCACTTCACGTACTACACTTTGAAAAATGATGCAATTTTTCTAGTTCATGGTGTTCATTGTTCTTTTTTGTGATGTGGCAGCTGTGTATTGATATTCTTTTGCACTATTAGAAATGGTAATTAACTGAATAGACCTTACTACCGGTATATGACCATAAAACTAATGTTTTTAAGTTTATTTGCCATGATGTTTTGGTTTAAACCATGCTAATTTGGTAAATCATCTGTGGTAGTGGCAATGTAATAGAGCTTGTTGTAATTGTTTGAAGAAACTTTGACTACTCCTGTTGGATAAAAGTCCTCCTCAAAAGGTTTTTATATAACAGAATTGTACACTTTAAGCCCAAACTAAAGTCTAAAACACAATTCTGTTACAACTAGAAACCATTTGCTTTCAGTGAAATTAAGTATTTTTGATCATTCACTGTTTTGTAGGTTAAGTAATACAGAGGCCAATATTTTTTCTGTGAGAAATAAAAGCGTAAAGTTTTCAATTCCTTAGTTTGTAATGAAGTCAATAGTCTTCTTCTTACGGTGAGGTAGTTTGGTGCTGATTTGTGATTTATGAATTTGTGTCATTCCTGTACAACTCTGTTCTGTAGAAAAGGAACATTTTTTCAATCTATTTTTATTTTTTTCAAACTATAAACTGGTTAAAGTCAATCCTTGTATTTTTTTTCAACCATAAAGCAACTGGTTTTTTTTTTAATTTTTTTTTAATTTTTTTTTTTAATTTTTTTATTCTAGCCTTAATGAAAAAAGATTTGCTTTGGTTCTGAAGAGATGTATGATGTCTATCATAGATAATAGTGTCCAAAATGAACTAGAACATTCTGTGGTCAAGAAAAATAGTGTGTCTAAAATTTGTTTATATTAGATGTCTGAGCATTGCAGACAAAGAGATAACCATTGAACAATGAGTGGGTGCTGTGCCTATTGTGAATTTATGCACTGTCTGACCCTAGCTCATGATTTTGAATGAAGTTAATTGAATGGCTGTCTACTTTTGAATCTGTGAATTGTCTTTGTCAGAAGCTTCTTTAGTGTGGTATTTTTCCACCAGCCATGTGGCTTATCTTTTTTTTTTTCCCCACTTGAAACCAGTAGGTGTAAATATTTGATTTGGGAGCACATGGGAACAGTGCTTTCTCTTTTATTAATTTAGTTCTGCTCTCAGGGTTAACAGTTCTCTACTACAGTGAGTTAGATAAAAGTTAAGCCAACAAGTATTTTGAGTTTTGGAAATGTGCAACATGTCGGTGTTGTAGCCAATGTAAGCCTATGAAGGGGGGGTTGGCATAAATACCACCTCTGTTCAAAGTACTCTGAACAAAGAAATGGAAAGTGGATTATGAGATAATTTGGTTTTATCAACTTAGTTGATGTTGCAAATGTACTGCTGCTAGAGACTGGAATCTTTTCCAAAGGACATTCTTTAAAGATAGTCTTTATCTAAATTTAAGGCAATAGTTTTTAAATATTTTTTAGAGTATGACAAATCTAATCATTTGAGTAGTTTAAATTGAGTATTAGCTTTTCTATATATAATTTTGTTCTTTTAATTTAGACTTTAGTTCTTTATAGGGTTTCTCCTTTGATTTTGATTGATACTATTTATCATGCTGATCACTAGTTTTTATACCAGCCAATCTGTTAGATTGCTGATTAGTTTTATCAGTTGAAATAAAGCTTTATTATTATTATTATTACTAATTAGCCACCCTAGCTAATTTCTAACCCTGACATTGTGAGCCCTTCATCAGTGTGACGGGGGGGAATAGATCGCTAATACCGAAGGACATTGTAAATTTATTTGGGTAAACTTGAAAAAAAAATAATTACAATATTCTATAATGTGTTCATCCCAATTTATTTGAAGAGTGATTTGCAATTTTCCTTAACAGCCTTTGTTAAGTAACTTTTTTTATTATCAATAAGAACAAAAACGCATGTGGCTACATTGTATAACGGTTACAAAGTAGCTCTTGCTGACAAGAGTGTTGAGGTTGAAATGTGTGTTTCAACTCCAATAAGTTTTAAAAGAAATGATGAGGGTTGTCATTAGAAAATGCAATAGATGTATTACATGAACTGAGTAGGCAGGTGAAGTGATCACAATTCATGAAGTAACCTGCCCAAAATGTCTGACAGCTAGATGATTTCCACCCACTAGTGATTTCTAGTGACAACCCTGAAATAATTCACAGGAACAAAGCAAGTTTGACGATGGAAATATTTCCTTCTGATTCTTGACGAGGGTCAACCAAGAGATGATTCTATAAATTTTGTTTTAATTGCATAAATGTTTGGGTCTCGATTTATGTGTGAGACTTAAAATCAGTATAGAAGAGTCACCCTGTGTTTTTCAGTTCTCCAAGCTCAATTTTCTCTCAAGGTGCCTTTTGTCAACAAAAAATCATTAAAAGTATTTTTGAAATCTCCAGAATTTTTAGGCAATCTGATTCGTGAGAGCAAAGATGTTGCAGTGAAACAGCTTCTAATGCACCTCCCTCTTCTCAATCCACGAAACGACGAAGCAAGACACGAGTACCTTCATTTACTTCCCAAGATCCTTAACCACACTGTGGAACATTCAGTCCATCAAGAAGAGTGTCGTCAGCTCTTGTCACTGGCTGTTGTGCACCCAGCCTTCCCCCCTGACGAGCGAAATTATCTCCACCACTGGCTGAGCAAACTTGACCAAAGCCTTGGAGTACATGAGAGGATGCAAACAACGAATTCTTTTGTCAATGAAAATTCGGATGTGTTACCCAATACAGGTTGTGAAAACCTTGTTAGACAAAACTATATGCGTGGTCGTATGAATGGCTGGCGTAACCAACAGCTCATTCATGTAGACTCTGGAATTGGTAGCTCATTTGATACGCCAACAATTCAAACGCATCTTTCAATTACATCATCTCTAAGGAAGAGTCGATCAAATTCTCTCACCCCTCCACCACCTATTGAAATACAGGACTCCATTTTGGAGGATTTCTCAGAAAGCAGTGAGATTGAAAATCGTCCGGGCAGGTCCCAGTCATTTCCAGTGGATCCTCACCGATTAAATAACTCGCTCTCACCTCAATCATCTTTGGACAGTGAATATGATGAAAATGGTTGCAGACAGAGAGGAAGTAGCTTTAATGAAGATGCGCGACCAGGCATGAAAGGTTAGTGTTAAAAAATTACTTTCTGTGTCCAATAGGTGGTTTGCAACCAATCTCTAGAGACACAGGTAACAACGGTGAAAAGAACAAATGCTGGTGGACGAACAAGGGGAGCTAATGAGATATCTATTGTTTACGTCCACCAACATGGCGGCAATGATGTAACATGCAAACCACCTATTCAAGGATAAGAATACATTCTTAATTTTCGGAGGTAAGCTGGGTTAAATCTCGATTTAAAAGGCTGGGTCCAAAGCTTGGCCCAGTTAACCATTTCACTCCCAAGATTTTATATTAAGTGATTCTCCTTACCATCTGCCGTACAGTTCTTGTGATGTTAGTTTGAAGAATTTGGTATTGGATCAACCTAAAATCCCCTAATTGACATTTTTCTTTATTCTCCTCACTTGTCTGCTTGATATTGTATTGATATTGTAAGGAGAAGTTCTGCCTCGGTCAATCATGGAAGTTAAAGTGTTAACCCATATTGTGGAGTGCTGGACTGTTGTGTGAAAGGTTGAGGGATTAAGGCCTAGATTGAACATCGCTCGGGGTCTTGAAATAACTGAGACAGAGCTGTCTTTGCCGACATCTAGTCTCCTCAGATAGGGACCAAAAAACTGAAGGCCCTGTCTCTTGCATCTTCTCTTAATAGCTTAGTGTGGGACATTGACAAACCCATGCATGTCTTGCAAAGTGCAGGGAATGCAACTCCTAGTTTTTTCTTTTCTGGTCTTGTAAGACTGTTTATACATGCCCCCGTTTAAGCTTAAAGTAGAACTGGGCCAGCCCATTTAAATATTGCAAATAAATAAATAAATAAAAATAAGCTATGGTGTTGTCTTCTTGGTAAGGCTTTAGATTCTCACTTCCTCCTACTGAGGAATTTCAATTGGCACTAGCAAACTGTCAGGGAAATTTGACAAATTGCTGGGGTAACCCTATGATGAACATGTATCTTTTCCAGCATGAGCCTCAATACCTCTAGTTTAGTTTGTGTTTAGGCCTGCTTATCAAATGATCACCCTGATTGCACCAATTCTGTTAAGCATTGGAGTAAAAGAGGAAATATAGGCAAACATATGAAAATCATACTTGTGATCCAATGCAAGGAACCTTAAAGAGACTATCTGGTCACAGATCTCAAGGTTTGGCTGTAACCTTTTGATTTTGGCTTAATTTGTAGAGGTTGGTTCGTGGTTAAAAAATTTAAGATTGCACAAGTATGGCAGTTTGTTTGCCCAGCTCTCTTATGAAGAGATGCTTGGTTTAACCGAGGACCACTTGGAAACCAAGGTATGTCTTATATCATCACAATTTGTAATTAAATAGAAGATATTTCAAGATATTGCACAATGCGGTAAATGGCTTGAACCCGGGGGTAACATGTGAAGGTGTAGTCTGATCGTCCGGGTGAGTGTAGTCCTGAGAAGGACTGTTGTCGGTGGTAGTGACTGACGTTTCGACAACCTGTGCGGAAGTCATCATCAGAGTCAAGTGAATGATTATTGTCAGTAGATTGTCTACTGTCTACTGTTGTCTACTGACAACAATCATTCACTTGACTCTGATGATGACTTCCGCACAGGTTGTCGAAACGTCAGTCACTACCACCAACAACAGTCCTTCTCAGGACTACACTCACCCGGACGATCAGACTACACTTTCACATATTGCACAATCCTCAACCAATCAGAGAGAGCACATCTCCATAATCACCAGAGCAATTATGCTAATTGTAAATAACACAATTTTGTGTTTCTTGTTGGTTGTACTGCTTGGGAGGATTTCATAACAATTTCTTTTTCTTTTCAGGGTGTAACCAAAGGTGCAAGGAACAAAATTCTACTGAGTATCAAAAAATTGGCGGAAAGACCAGAAACACTGGCTCGTCTGGAAAAGGTGAAATTTGACTTCGTTAACCCTGAACTTTATCTGAAGATTTCTATGTAACACCATCCATAATTTTCCAACCTATCTCCTGCTGTCATGAAAATTTCATATATGGGAAGGACTTTAATTTAAATTAATTTTTGTTCATTAGGAAGTGCTTCAACAAGGAAAACTCCAAGGAGTTCTTGTTGGACTCAAAGATATCATAATCACCCCAATAAAACCATTTAGTTCTCCTCCCTCGGAGAATTCACACTGTGGTTCATACCCACCGCCACTGACAGGACAACAGCCGCCTTCGACTCTACCTCCCCACCCAGAAGACTTGGCATCAAGGATAACAAGAGTGTTGGGTAAAGGTGAGTAGGCTTTTTCTGTTTTGCGGAAACATAGGCAGTAATCTATCTTCAGTGTGAATGTTCCTTAAGGTTGAAAACACCCAATTTATGAAATAATTTGAATATATCAACAAAGTTGAAATGGTAAATTAGCCACCGTTATGATTATAAAAGCTGATGTTTTAAGCGTTAGCCCTTCGTTGGAGCTCTGATGAAGGGCTAACGCTCGAAATGTCAGCTTTTATAACCGTAAGGGTGGCCAATTTACCATTTCAACTTTGTTGATATATTCAAATTATTTCGTTACCCCCACTGACGCAGCCCCAAACAGTTTCTTTAGAAACTATCAGCCTTTACCCAATTTGACTTTGTCTCTTGATGGCAGCTTGCACTCAGATTCTTGTATCAAGAGCAGATGAGGAACACTGCAACACTTATCTTCAACTTTTAGACAGAGTTCTTTCACTTGAGGTGAGGTTTCTATATTGATTGCACTTATCTCTTTGTTTCAAACCTTCATGTGAGAAGAAACCATCTGGAACCATTGCATTAAATTTGTGACCCTCCACAGGATTTCCAGCATAATGGTGATAACATGGGCACGCATGCGATGACACGCCACGCTAAGCGTGATATGTGACACGCATATGCACATTTATTAACAAGGAAACAAAGAGTGCCACGGTAGCTTTGGTTTTCACATCTTAACATGCTCAATCTTTCATTTTCAACAGCGTGTTAAATGACACACTTCGTAGCGTGTTAAAGTCATGCGATATGGCACTGACAGTGGCACGGAAAGAGTTGTTAGGCAACCGAAGAGGTTAAGCAAGAAAGCGTTTAGTTTTAGAAGTTGCTCCGCAGATTGAAAGAATTGTAGCGAAAAAGACGGCTTATGTAAAAAGTTCTTCCTAGCACAGATGCTTTCACTGTACGTTGACTTCACGCAAAAAGACAGCCTATGTAAAAAGTTCTTCCTAGCCAAATACTTTCACCGTACGCTGACTTCAAGCAGGGCCTAGCGACAGTTTGACGATTCGATGGCCTGGTAATTATTATGTTCGAGCAACAATGTGTTCAAAAAGTATTGTTTAGAGGATTTTACGTCAAATCAAAGTTTTTCAGAATTTTCAACGTAACGCCGCACAATTTCTGGCCATGAAGGCAAGTAAACAACGATCTAAGCATGATGAATTTTACCGCGTGGGCTTTGTATACGTAAGAAATTCGTACGTTTTTCGCTTATAACAGCAAATCAAGAAACTGTTTTGAATAAATCTGTCGTCCCGAAATATTACTTAGCCAGTTTAGTCTTGCTTCCTTATTAATTGATTCCATGGAACTTGAGATCTCTTCACTCACGGACAAATTTGCATATTCCCGTTTGAAATATTATCCACAGGCTCATTTGCACACATGCGAAAACATTTAGTGATTTTTATCTTTTATCTTGATTTTGAGAGAAAACGAAATATGTACCTATCGCTTTTTTCGACGAAAATAAGTTCTTTAATTAGTCTTCTTTCACTGGAGCTTGTTTTTTGGAGATGATTTTTAAAAATTTACTGCGCATTGTGTTTGCTTTCTTGGTTTCTCCAAAATTTTGACTTTTCGTAGGCACGTGTTAGATTGCGTAACACGTAAGTGTCAATGGGTTAAACTCGATCTTGCTATAAATTTCCGTGTTTTGAGAAAAAAATGGGTTTGGTGTGACGAATTGTGATTCATTGGAAGATGACAGGTGAAGTTTACAACATAGTCAGTGATTCGATGATGAAAATAAGTTACGAATGCAGGTTTTGCTTTAGTGGAGATAGTATAATTTTTCGCACATGCAATCTCTTATAGATGTTTTGATCTGACATGGGTATTATTTAACACGCGTGATATTTCGCACATCAGAGTTCAATATGACACGGCATAACACGACTTTCGTTTTCGCACCCTTTAACACGCTTCTTTGTTTAACCTGAACACGGTTCATTGTTTATATGGAACAAAAGAAAATTTTAATCAGGAGTGCATTGTGACACGCTG